GCTTAACTGTAAGCATCGTAACAGGGCGAATCTGTCTTAAGAACAAAGTGTCACATACTCGACTTGATCTTTTAATTATTTTTTTGGGTACGGTAAAATAAATTTGGTAAGTAATTTATTTTATTTATTTGATTTGTTTCATTAATTTATTTTACACAGAAGATTATTCCAACAATCTATACGTTAGAAAAAAAAGTATTACTTAGATCTTAATATTCACATTTTCAATGACAAAAATAATATGCCAAGGCTATAAAATTATACTTACTTATTTGGATCCTAATATTCACATATTCACATATTCATTTATCTCTTTCTTTGTTTGATATTATTTTTCTATTTAATTTTTTTGTTTTGTGTTATTGTTTAATAGCCATTGTTTGTTGTAATGATATAAAAACATTTTAAATTTTTGTTTAAGTTCGAATGAAATTAGTCAGGTGAAATTTTTTCGACTTTTTGCAATTATATCAAAATTGATTAGTGAAATTTCTTTGAATTTTTGTAATTTAACAGATTTGATCAAATAAATTTCACTGACTAAATTTACTAAAATCGCAAAAAGTTACAGAAATTTCACAATCATAGCAAACTTTTTCAGCAACAATTACAATTTTTAATGACTCTTTGGAGAAGTAAAATTTGACTGTGCTAAGTTAGTGAAATTTCACATCATTGGTGTTCATAGGAGAGTCAATGAAAAATAATTACCGACAACCAGTGGTCGTCATTAGAAAATTGTTGTGGACAGTGGCAGAGATGTTCAAAGGTTGGTGGGCTAATGAAAGTATACTAAGGCTAAGTTTGGGAAGTCCCAAATAAGTTAAAAAGTCAAAAAGTTACTCAAAAAGCTAAAAAGTTAACACTATTCACCAAAAGTTAACAATTACGGCTGCACAACTCCCAATTCAAATTTTTCTCTACAAATCAATTTTTACAATTTTTTATTACACATTTTTCAATAAAAAGTCAAAAAGTTAACCCAAACATCCATATTTTCAACCTCAATTTTTTAGTCCAAAAAGACAAAAAGTACACTTTTTTAGTCTTTCCAAACTTGGCCTAAGGATAGTTTTGTCCCAAAACAAACATATTTTACTTGTCCTTAAACTAATACAAAAAAAAATTTAGGAAGCTGAATAAAAAAAATCCAAAAGGGAAAATAATTAACTTATTTGAACATTTATTTCCAATCATAAAGGAGTTTAAATTAGTCAAATTTACTTAAGCTTTGTTTGGTCAAGACTAAAAATAAATTAGTTTATTGGCTAGAAGAGCTCGTTGTATTAAAAAGTGCTAACTCACTCAACTAACTTTTCTGCAAAAAACTATTTTGATTGCTTTAAAAAAAACACTAGCAAATGTTAAAAAAAAGAAAAAAAAATATAAATGTGTCAAATAAATATTTTTTTAATATTAATTGTTTGTAAAATTATTTTTAGTGAATAAACCAATTTTTTAATTAATTCTCAAAGGTATTTTAAAAAGCTATTAGAAATGTAAAAATTAAAAATATAATCAAACAATTTTTTTTTTTTTTTTGCATTAGTATTTTTTTAATAAATGTACATTTAGTTAATAAATTAGCTTTTTTTTTTAAACAAGTTATTTTAGTTAGTTCTTTACAAAAAATAAATAAATAGATGAGTTATTTTTTAATAATGACTTTTTAACTTAGTTCTTAAACTTGGCTTTGGAAGTCAACATTGAAGAAGTTATTTGATGATTCTGAGATATGACCAATGTGGTATCACAAGTATTGTAATTAATGAATGAAATAAAATTTATAATTTTATATTAAATAATAAAAAAATATGATATATTATAATTGGTGAGCAGCATGTAGACGCCCCAAAATACATCAAGGATCCTCTAAAAAAAAAAATTCTTAAAATTTTTTAAAGTGGTGTATTATATGTGTGAGATTTAATATTAAAAAATTGATATGACTTGCCATTAAATTTCAATTATACAACACACTATTCTAAAAAACTTTTAAAAAAAAAATTCTAGACAATCCTTACTTTCCAAAATAACCACATAACTTTTGGCAAGTGTCCTTATGTGGTGGGGCAAGGAATGAGATTTGGTGTATGATGATGATAAGAAAGGGCGAAGGTAACAAACAATTCGAGATTTGATTTGACACTGCCACAGTGCCACTTCCCACATTAATTACAAAAGTTACAGAACCACCACCACCACCCAAATAGAATTATTTTTTCTTGGCCTCCCAATGGAAACATCATTTTTTTTCTAAATTGATTAATAATCATTCCATTTGAAATATGGATCATTGTTGTTATTCTTACTGAATTAAATATAAGTATGAATATTTCAGTAGAATAATCATTCATTCCTGTAAATCAAACATTGGCTAACAGTATTCGCTAATTTCACCTATATGAAGGAAAGAAGGACAAATTTTGTTTTTCTGGTTATTTACTTTATTTTATTTTATTTATTTATTTTTTTGTATTTTTTTATTTTTGTTGAGAATAGAATTCCAACCAACCAGTTTAGGGTCAAGTTTGAGTTGGAGGACCGCTTGGTTTTTTGTCTTCTTTCATTTTGTTTCTTTCTTCTTTCTTTCATTTTCTTTCTTTCTTTCTTTCTTTCTTCTTCTTCTTCTTCTTCTTCTTCTTCTTCTTCATCATTTTGTTTTTTTTGGTGTGTGTATATTTCTTCTTCTTCATCATTTTTTTTTTTTTTTGTAAAATTCTTTCAAAATCAAACAACATGTCAGTGGTTAAAACGATGAAGGTTGAAATGAGTTATAAATTTAAACATCTTGAGTTTAATTTTTATTGATTTCTTTCAAATTTAATTGATATTTGCACATAATTAATTTTAAAAGGATACTTGGTTCATAGGTTCAATTTCAAAAAATTTTAGAGAATAATTTCAAACTCTTATCTTTTGAGGCTAAAATGGTAATAATAATTCGAAATATCATATTATTCTTATATTTCTGTCTATCTGTCCACTTATCTGTTTAAGTATCATCTATCTGTCTGCCTATCTATCGACGTTTCATCCCCCTATTTGTTAATGTATCACCTATTTGTCCATATCACCACCACCGTCACCACTGCTGTTGGAAGCCGTCGTCGCCGACTATCTCTGATGACTTTTTTGATGAACTTTCTAGCAGCAACAACTTTTCTTGCAATAGCGAAGTTTTCGATGAACTTTCCGACAACTGGCCGATAATGGTTCGGTGGTGGTCTAGCAATGGTAGGATAAAATAAAAAAAATCAAAATAAAAACAAGAATTTGTCTATCTCGTCAAATAATTTCATTAAACATGTGTTTACCAAAAAAAAAAAATATTAAACCAAATAATATATGGCTGCATAAGTATAAACTTTTTACCAATTATCCTATTAAAAAAAAGGGATTGAATAGCTTCCTCGTGATTACAAAAAAACAACAATGCTATATATCTCCAAAAAACACAATCCCTACTCATCTGTGATTGGTTCCGGAAAGAAAGAAAAATAAAATAAAAAAATAAAAACACATAATTGGTTCACATCATTTTGAAGGTCATGGGGTCCCAAGCATTTTGTACAAAAAAAAAATGGCAAATACCTTATCATTTTCTCCTTATTTTCCAAACTCAACTAAAAAATAGTTCAATAGTGCTCCGTAGACAAAGAATCAAACACAGAACTAAACATAGAAACTATTCATTCGGACGACCAGTCGAATAATCAGGTGATCGATTGAATGACAAGATAATAGTAGCGGTTGACAAGATGATAGCTGCGATTAACAAACTCTGGTCGCGGTCGACAAGATGATAATCGTGGTTGATAAACACTGACCGGTTGACCACTCTATTCATCTGACTGATCATCTGGATGAATAATTTCTGTGTTTAATTCTATGTATGATCTTCTGTGTGCATAGTATTACTAAAAACAATTAGCTTGTTTCACTTAATTTTGTTTTCCTATTTTTCTTTTTTCTCAACAATTTCATAATAAAATTGATAAAATCTTTTGTGTGCAATCAATTTATTTATTAGAAGCTTAAATTTGAGAGAGAAAAAAACCTACACCAAAATAGAGGACCCCATGTGCACTGAGGCATTTGCCAACATTAGAACATGCACTTGATGTGACCATTCCCAGTGCCACCGGGTCCCCACACAAATTAGCTTGCAGATAAGGGATTGGAAGCCATTTCCTCTCATTTGGGACTCTTTTCTTTTTCCTTTTTCGGAAAGCAGTTTGCATTTACGCTTCCTCCTTTTTCACCATAATTGGTTGGAAAGTGTGATTACAAATAAACAAGGCCACAAACTGGTCTCTTCATAAAGATTTTATGAAAATGATATAGTAAGAACATTTTTATTTTTTATTAAAATGATATGACAGTAATATTTATATAATTAATTGTTATTTTAATAGATACTTTAATTTAAAATGATTAATAAGAAATTACTATTAGCTTTCATATAATTTCTTAAAATTCTTTAGGGATTTTTTATTTTTACACATTAAATTTTCTCTTTGCACATCTATTCTAAAGACACATACAGTTTAAAACTTTATATTTTACTCAATACACAACTCACTATACTAAAAATATTCTCATCTTTTTCATCCTTCAAACACTAATTCTAACCCTAACCTTAACCAATCATTGTACCAAAAATATTTTCATCTTCTTCATTCTTCAAACACTAACCCTAACTAGTCACCACCCAATATTTTATTGTTTAACGGAGTCCACGCTACTATGTTGTGTGAGACCCACTCCTAAGTATGGAAAATTACAAGTTAGTGATTTTAAAGAAAAAATATTTCCATAGACGTGGTAAAATTTATAATTTTAATTATTAATATTCATAAAATTTGAAAGTGTAATTTTTTTAAAAAAATTTCACTGAATTGTAAGCAGAAAAGAATAGTGTCTGTAGCCGGACACTAATTAGAAGCCTTATAGGGGGGAGAGAGAGAGAGAGAGACCATTCTATGGAAAACATATGCTTAAAGACGAAAGATATGCACAACCATTTTGTTGAGAAACTCTTTCTCATTGCATTACAAAGCAAGTGAAAAACATCCAAACTGTATCACTGAAAGCCCAAATAAATTAGACACTAAAAAGGCATACAGATTACAGGAAGAAAGAAGCAAAATAGAGAATGAACATACAAAAATAAACCATAATCACTACTAGCATCCCTAACTTCTTCTCACCTCCCATCTGCTGATGTAAACGACTCAGCAAATCCATATGGCCGATTTGGTATGCTGGTCTGAGTGTTGTCTAAGCTCGGGAGGAACGATGAAGAAGAAGATGAATCCATGTGACTTCTTCCTTCGAAAGCCTGCCACTTCTTAAGTGCTTGTGGTAAAGACATCTCAAGATCAATCCCATATATGTCCTCGGAGCTCTGGTCAGATGGTTTCCAGAGTTCTACAAGAGAAGATAGCACATTCACAGCGTGACCCATGTCAGGCCTTTGATATGGCTCCCGAGCACAGCAGTGGCCGGCTAGTTCAGCAACGGTACTGACACTTGCGAGTGTTTCTTCAGTAAGGTCAATTGTGGAATCAATGGCCTTGCGGAACGTGTCCTTGTTAAGATGCACTCTTCTGAACCACGTTACGAGGTGCATGCTTTCCTCGGGTTGGCTCTCATCGAGCGCTTTTCTTCCTGTGATTAGTTCCATCAAAATCACCCCAAAACTAAAGACATCAACTTTTGTGGTCACTCGCCCTGTCACTGCACACCATAAAGTGAAAAAAGAGGATAGTTATCTTACAAATAGATAGTGCAACTAAAAGTGAACAAGTAGTATGCTATGTTAGGTGGCAAATTGACGCTTTATCAAAGGAAGATGACTGAGAAACCATTCAATTGTTTCAAGCCAAAATGATTTCAGCTTTGAAAACCACCAAATGTAACCTCAAGAATGCATAATGTGAAAAGGAAGTATCAGGTGAACGTGAAGCACAAGTTTCCAAGAGACTACATTAGCCAAGCTAGTGTACCTTCAAGCGGAGATTGCAAAAAAGAAAATAATATCTATACATAATTTTCATGCAAAATTTAAGACAAAAATGACGTGCCAATGACATTCCTTCAATTATGAACTAAATTGAAGGATATTTTGACTTCTAATGAATGACTATAAATGAGACATATGATATCATTCTTTATGGATTTTTTGTATACAATTCTCTTTGTATAGCATTACCCATGCAAAAATTGTGAACTCCCACCATCAGTGGCCAGTACAAAGTGAATTATTTTAAGTGGTATCTGTGGCTCATGAATGTAATTTTGGTATTTTTGTGTTTTTAGTTTGGATTAAGGATAGTCTACTATTTTCTGTCTTTTGTTTACTAGGGTTAATTATCTATTTAATCGTATTGTTAGCAAACAATGTAAATAATCAGAGTTAATACAATATAGTTTTGTCCTTCTCTCTAAGCTCACATGGCTAATCTTTGTAACTCTACATTAAAGAAATGGGGAAAAAGCTCGTAATTGTAAAGATGATGCAACTACCACCAATCGAGTACATCATTAAAGCAGCTAACAATTTCTGATTGATGTTATCATGTTAATGCCAGGACCCATTTTGGTGGGGAAGTGCAAAATTTTAACATGAGTGATAACAGTTATCTTAAAACTATCCCATTTGCATAATCTCACCTCCACAATAATATTTTAGCAAGCTCTCGGAGGACATTTGAGACGGAGACAAAAAAAGATGATAATTGTTCAACTGTGCTAGTAAAGGATGAGAAGAAAAATATTCTGCTAATGCTAGGTATCATGAAAAAAATATCAGAAAAATGATCATGAAAGATTCTCCACCGTTAGATTACACACATGAGAAAACACCACACACTAATCAAAGGATGAAAAATCTTCATGAAACATTTCATGATCCCTAATATTATTCTTCAAGATAATGGATCTCGAGGGCAAACTTCAATCTTGCTACAAGAAATCAAAATGGGAAATCTATTAGGTCGCCTAATTTATGCAGCCGCTCTTTGCTAGCCTGGTTTGTTTGTGTTTTTTATTTTATTGTTATATAATTAATATCAAATACCCATCTCCATAGCGGTGAAATTGGTTCGGTTTTGGTCGGGGTTTTGTATGCTTTTGGACTGAACTGACCAAGTCGGCGTACTAGATTGATGGACCGAACTGACCAAACCCAACCTATGAACGACGCCATTTCGGTTTCAATCGGCTGAGTGAAGTTCAATTGTTTCGATTTGGTTTACTGCTTCAAATTTGGAGTCTTCAAATTAAGATAACAAAAATTTAGGGTTTCAAATTTTACGATTTTAAGAATCTGGGCATTTACAAATTAGGGCTTTGCGTAAATTATGGCTTAAGAAATTAGGTTTGAGAAGTTGGGGTCTTTTAAAAAATTAGGGCATTGTAATTGGGGCTTTTCAGATTAGGGATTTCAAAAACTTAATCGATTGAATTAAAATATTGCCCAAAAAAAACCAATCCAACAGGATTCAGAAGGGGAACTGACCAAAAACCAATTTGCTCAGCTGGTTTAGTCCTCTCAGTTAATAATTCACCCCTACATGTTGATCATTTAGTTTCTTGTGAAAGATTAGGTCTGAAGTATAACAGAGAACACTAGAAGGAAACATAAATTTAAATTAGCCAGGATAGAAAGCTAAACAAGTACCTGCATATTCTGGTGCTAGATACCCAAAAGTCCCAGCAATCCTAGTTTCAATAGAGCCTTTTCCTTCAGGAGCAAGACGCACAAGACCAAAGTCTGCAACCTTGGCCCGCATATCATCCCCAAGAAGAATGTTTGAGGGCTTTAGATCTCTGTGTATAAAGCTTTGATGAGCCAAACTATGAAGATATTCCACACCCCTTGCCACATCCAACGCAATCGTCAACCTTCTCGTCCATTCCAATGGTTTCAATCCTTCATCTACCCAGTTGAATAGATGCCTACTTAATGTCCCTTGAGGCATGTATTCATATACAAGAAGCCTCTCATTCCCATCCAAACAGTACCCAAGAAGGGCAACAAGATGTCGATGTCGAACCTTAGTCAAAACAGCAATCTCAGACTTAAACTCTGCTAAACCCTTTGCTGTAATTACCCCGGACTCCATTCTTTTCACAGCGATTTTTGTTCCATCATGCAATTCCCCTTTGTAGACCGTCCCAAAACCTCCTTGTCCCAATATATTCTCTTCACTGAAATTGTTTGTCACATTTTTTAGGACTTGAATGGAAATTACCATGTTTCCCGTTTCAACCATTTGGATGTCACCGGTCTCGCTGCTAGGAACAGTATGGCTTTCACTACTGGCACCAACACTAACACTCGATCCCGCAACTGTAATCTTCACACTATCATTATCAGATCCTGAATGGCGAGGATGAATTACCATTGCATTTGGGCTCTGTACTCTGCTAAACCTTTTTCGTTTACTTTTGTACAGACAGAAAGCAGCCACACCAATCAAGAAAATCACAAAGAGACCACCCATCATGGAAAACAAGAGAACTCCAATCCAATTCCTAGATTTCTTACCACTTTTGACACTGTCATTATTTTCAGAACCAGAATTTGTCGATGAATTGGATGAACCCCCAGAAGATGGACTTGAAGATGAAGAATCACTCTTATCCTTCCCAATATTCAGATTACCATTTGTATTTATCATCACATTGCTCCTAAAGGCTGGTACTTTCCCAAAAAGCATGTTATTCGCCACATCAAGTTCAGTAAGTGCAGGCAAAGTTGTAAGCTCCTCAGGAATCGAACCCGTAAGATTGTTATCAGCAAGAACCAATCTTTGCAGCGATTTAAGCGAATCAAATTCAGGAGAAATCGTACCCGTAAGACCCATCTTTTGAAAATTAACAATGGTAATGTTTCCACTGTTGCAAGTAATGCCGAACCAATCAACACATGGATCATTTCCCTTCCAATTCTCGGCAAATTTCATTGGGTAATGCATGGATTTCACAATGGAAAGCAGAGTATTCACTCTAGGATCACAATCACCAGGTTTTGGCAAACAAAAGCTGTTTGTATTGTTAACCATATCCACTGCAACTGAATCATTGAACATGGGCATTGGTCCTTGAAGCAAGTTGTTAGTCAAGTTGACAATCTTCAGTGACCCAAGATTCATCAAAGACACCGGAACAGGGCCGGTAAACGAATTATCTCTAACACTCAAGCTCTCCAAGCTCTTGAACACCGAAAAATTGGGCAATGGACCCGAAAACGCATTGGAATGCAACCAAACCTCCCTCAACATTGTCATGTTCTGTATAACATCAATCCCTCCACTAAGTTTACCATTACTCATCTGCCCATTAACCCACAAAGACTCCATTAGAGACCCTGAAAAGCTCTTTGGCAATTCACCTTCCAAGTAATTGAAAGCTAAATGCAAATTAATCAACCCGGGAAACCCATCAGGGCCGAGAAAATCCGGTATTTTGCCGGTAATATTAGCGGAATTAGCCGAGAAATTCTGAAGACTTGAAGCATTTAGGAGGGTTTTAGGGATTTCCCAAGCCATGAAAGGGTTGTTATCAATCTCAACAGATTGAAGTGAGTTCATACCAGTGAAAAAGTCTTTAGGGATTGAACTAAACTGGTTATTACTAAGCATTAAAACTTGTAATGAGGTTAACCCATTTAAGCTTGGTATTGGACCTGAAATGTTGTTCCATTGAAGCTCTAAGCGCTGTAGTGCAATGAGGTTTGAGAGGTTTGGAGGGAGTGTACCTTGGAGGTTTTGGTGCCCGATTTGGATCCGAGTGACCCGGTTGCTGTCTGAGCAGGCTACGTGGGTCCACTTGCAGGGATCTGGGTCGGACCACCCAAGTTCTTTTGGTGGGTTTAAGGTCTTCATGAGAGCCACCATGGCTGCAACATCAGATGGGTTGGTCTGAGATACTCCACATGCGAAGAATGAAGACAACCCAACAAGGAAAATAAGTAAAAGCCTGAACCCATTTTGGGTTTTCATCTTGGGAAGCTAGCCACAGAGAGAGAGAGAGAGAGAGAGAGAGAGAGAGGAAAAAAAGGACGAGTTTTAGAGAGAGAGAGAGAGAGAGAGAGAGAGAGAGAGAGATGGGTTGTTCAGAGGGGGTGTAGCAGAAATGGGGTTTTGGAGGAGCATAGGATGCTGAAGATAGAAGGTGAGGAGATGAGAGAAAGACAGAGTGAAGTGATGAGACAGAGTGGAGTGGTTTAAGTAATGCACATGATTGTGGGGACCATCTGAACAACATAAATATGGCTGTCAAATTTAAAGTTTTATTTCTTCATTTTTAAAAATAAAAATAAAAATAAAAATGTTGGCTGATTCTTTGGTCCAAATGACTCATAACCTCATGGCCAACTTGGCAGTTGGGTTTTCTTACGCTGTGGGAGTCTATCTTGCATGTGCTATGCTGTTCCACTGTCTACCTATTGATGTGTCACATTTATCATTCATGATTTTTTTTTTTTGTAATATCATATATCTTAATAATAATTGAAATTCATCCTTATCAGCTAGGCGTGAGCAGCGGATATACCGATCTGTTAAAACCGATCAAACCGAACCGAACCGATCCGTTGCATTTTGGATGGATGCGTGATGATGAGCGGACGGTTGCGGATTGATTTTCTCCAATCCGCCAATCTAGCGGACGGATGGCGGATTTGAGATTCCTTTGGCCGCAACCGAACTGTCAAACCGCGAGCACTCCTAGTAATTTATAAAATTTTGTGTTTTCAGTTTGTTGATATACCGATCTGTTAAAACCGACCAAACCGAACCGAACCGATCCGCTACATTTTGGATGGATGCGTGATGATGAACGTACGGTTGCGGATTGATTTTCTCCAATCCGCCAATCTAGCGGACGGATGGCGGATTTGAGATTCCTTTGGCCGCAACCGAACTGTCAAACCGCGAGCACTCCTAGTAATTTATAAAATTTTGTGTTTTCAGTTTGTTTAAATATTCTGTTTGTGTTTTCAATTAAAAAAGAGTTTAAATATTCTGTTGAGAAAAAAATTTCAACTTAATTATCTTTTTTGAATTGAAAAAAATAAACATATTATTTATCTATATTTTTTGGTTTATAAATCTATCTCTAAAAATAATAAATAGAAAATATGATATATGCTGGTTAGTTTTTATTTTCAAAAACAGATATAGATGTAACAATACAGAGACAATCTCTACTACTGCTCTGTTCATGGTTTTGGTAGTTTGAATTGTTTTTATATTTTAAGAATCACAGATTGTAATACCTTATGTGAATAAGACATGTTGTGATTGTAGTATGTGGATGAGGCATACAGTAATTGTAATATTTTTTTAAGTCATTGACCATAATACTTTCTTCTTCTTTTTTTTGAAGAAGTGCACAAGTTTAATTATGTTGAAAATTTATAAAATTTTAAACCGTCAAACCGATTCGCATCCATCCACCAAACCGCCAATCCGCTCAATCCACATCGGCGGATTGGCGGACGGATGCGGATTGATTTTCTCCAATCCGCCAATCTGGAGGACGGATGGCGGATTAGAGGCTCTGTGGCCGCAACCGACCCGCGCCCACCTCTATTATCAGCCTCCGTTTGGGAAGTGGGTTGGTTTTTTAATTTTTTTAGTTTTTTTGACTATTTTAGCTTGGGCTGAAAAGTTTGGTTTGGGAAGGACTTTTTGACTTTTTGACTTTTTGACTTTTTGACTTTTTGACTTTTTTTGTGAGAGAATAGTGTAATGATTATTGGTTGAATGTGATATTTTATTTTTTGTGACTAAAATAGTCTATTTTGTCTTTTGTGGCTAAAATAGCCAAAAAAAACATGGAATAGCTCGTCCCAAATGGACCCAAGAGACATTTAGAGTTTATTCAGAATGTGGATTGATTTTTTGACGTTTTAATTTTTTTAATTATTTTAGTCTAGAGTTAAAAAATCTTATTTTGGATAGACTTTTTGATTTTTTTAATTTCTATAAGAGAAAAAATAAAATAATTATAGTTTAGATGTGATATTTTTAAACCTAAGCCTAAAAACTTATTTTATTTTTTTATGGCTATTTTAATCTCAACCCAACCCAACTTCCCCAACGATTGCTTATTAGGGTTCGTTTGGAAAGTGGGTTGACTTTTTGACTTTTTGGGTTTTTGACTTTTTTAGCTTGAGGCTAAAAAGTCTCGTTTGAGAAGGACTTTTTGACTTTTTTGATTTTTTTGTGAGAAAAAGTATGTTATGATTATGGGTTGGATGTAATGTTTTGTTTTATTAAGCTAAAATAGTCTATTTTGTCTTATATGATTATTTTAGCCCCAACCCATCTTCCCAAACAAGCCCTTAATAAATTTTATATTTTGACCATTTAATCTTATAAATATTCTTATAAACCTATAACTCTTATTTCATTCAATGAAGCAAACTCACATTTGAAAACGTAGTGCACATATCAAAATGATATCTTATTGTCACATTTTAAGAATGATATATTTGATAAAAATTTAATAAGATAATAATGCACAAATATTCCATTGTCTCATTTTAAGAAGAATGATACATTTGATAAAAGTTTAATAAGACAATACTACACAAATTGTCACATTTTAAGAAGAATGACATATTTAGAAATATAGTAAAATAATAGTGCACATATTAAAACAATATCTCATTGTCACATTTTTTTTTTAAAAAAAAAAGACACATTTGACAAAAGTTCAATAAAACAATAATACACACATTAGAATGATATCCTATTGTCACATTTTAAGAAATAGCACAATTGATAAAAGCTTAATAAGATGACAGTGCACAAATATCTCATTGTTATATTTTAAGAAGAATAACATATTTAACAAAAGTTTCATAATATGAATGTTCACATTTATTATTTGATAATTTGTATAATTTCAGTTAAAAAAAAGTAACAGTATGATTGTTTGGTAAATTTGTTGATTGAAAGTATAAAATGTGGTACTTTATGTCACAATTTTGAATGTGAATATTTACATTTATAATTTTTGTTTTAAAAATACACATTATTATATTTATTGAAAGTATAAATATTTTCATTTTTAACTTTCACATCTATGTATAATAAGGCCAAAGAAAAATGTATATTTAAAATAAAGTGGAATGAAAATAGCGGCTCTCTCTATATATTAGCTTCCATAAATTTTTTCCACATAAATAGATTCTAATACAAATAGAGTAAGTATTCAAACTTGAGATATAGATTTTAAATTTTTTTTTTTTTGGTGTTAAATCTAAAATTGTGATTTTGAATGACTGTAAATGGGTTACAAGAAATTAAGGGGTGGTTTGAAATGATCTAAATAAGTGTACTTTTTAACTTTTTGTTAAATATAGATTGGGTATGGGTTGGGTTTGAAGTGATGTGGTAGAGAGGTGATATGACTTAAATAAGATGACAGCCTTGTTTGGCATGACCTATTTTAGTCAATTTTTTTAATCTTTTTTGGGTCGCATCAATCAAAATCTCATCTACTTTTCTACACATCTTTTTTATAAAAAAAGTCAAAAAATGCACTTAATTAGAACATCTCAAACCACTTCTAAACTTTTTGACTTTTTTAGAATACCCCAAGCAAGACCTTAGTTAGACCAATTGATACATAAGTATTACAAGTAGAATTTTTGAAAAAAAATTCCCCTTAAATTTATTACTTTTTGTGCTTTACAGCATGATTACTTTATTTGCTTTAAAAGTTTTTGTATTATAACATGTTGATTTATCAGATTTTGATTTTTTGATTTTATTTATTATATTTATTCAGGCGGCCCATATTTGAAATGGAAAAGCGTTTTGATTTGAGGGCCCATAAACAGAGGGACGCCCATTAAGCTACCATCTTTAGAGCTCATTTGGGTTTGGTCTTTCAGCCCACAAAAAAAGACTAATCCTAGGACTCCTCCACCAAGCTCACTTTTATGATTCACAAACGCCTTTTTTTTAAAAATAAAAAAAAATAAAGAGTTATGTTAGGGATCCCAAACAAATTACCAAATAAATTACCAAACCTCTCACATGGGTGTGGGACCCACACAAATCACATGTGTGTGGGTCCCATACCCATGTGAGAGGTTTGGTAATTTATTTGGTAATTTGTTTGGGATCCCTAACATAACTCTTTATTTTTTTTTATTTTTAAAAAAAAGGCGTTTGTGAATCATAAAAGTGAGCTTGGTGGAGGAGTCCTAGGATTAGTCTTTTTTTGTGGGCTGAAAGACCAAACCCAAATGAGCTCTAAAGATGGTAGCTTAATGGGCGTCCCTCTGTTTATGGGCCCTCAAATCAAAACGCTTTTCCATTTCAAATATGGGCCGCCTGAATAAATATAATAAATAAAATCAAAAAATCAAAATCTGATAAATCAACATGTTATAATACAAAAACTTTTAAAGCAAATAAAGTAATCATGCTGTAAAGCACAAAAAGTAATAAATTTAAGGGGAATTTTTTTTCAAAAATTCTACTTGTAATACTTATGTATCAATTGGTCTAACTAAGGTCTTGCTTGGGGTATTCTAAAAAAGTCAAAAAGTTTAGAAGTGGTTTGAGATGTTCTAATTAAGTGCATTTTTTGACTTTTTTTATAAAAAAGATGTGTAGAAAAGTAGATGAGATTTTGATTGATGCGACCCAAAAAAGATTAAAAAAATTGACTAAAATAGGTCATGCCAAACAAGGCTGTCATCTTATTTAAGTCATATCACCTCTCTACCACATCACTTCAAACCCAACCCATACCCAATCTATATTTAACAAAAAGTCAAAAAGTACACTTATTTAGATCATTTCAAACCACCCCTTAATTTCTTGTAACCCATTTACAGTCATTCAAAATCACAATTTTAGATTTAACACCAAAAAAAATAAATTAAAATCTATATCTCAAGTTTTTTGCCCCTCTTATTAATGGTAATATTAACATAAATTTTTTAAAATAATTGATATTTAATTAGTATATTGTGAGGTTCATATCACAACAAGAAAAAGCACTTTTGGCGACTAAATTTTTAGTCGCAAAAAGTCGGTTTTTAGTTGCCGAAAGTCGAAATTTTACTTTCCCCAACAAAATTTTTTAGTCACCACATTTGTCGTGTATATGTGGTCGGCGTAAGTATTGGCGACTAATAATTTTTTAGTCGCCAAAATACAGGTCTTTAGCGA